TAATAATAATAATAATAATAATAATAATAATAATAATAATAAATGACATTATAAACGCTCAACCCCGATTAAAGTACACAGGCTATGAGCTCTTTACAATACAATACAATATAATACAATACAATACAATGTACAACAGTAACAAAACAGGAATTTAATTTTAATCTTTTTTCGTTATAGTTTAGTTTAAGTTACAGTTTTATGACATTTGCAACATAAATAGGTCACATATAAATGACAAAAAATACATAATGTGTTACTTGAGAGAAACTTACATAGAAAAGAAGGAGAGTTGAGGGCATAGATGTACACCAAGGAAATAACTCTATGGATAAGGGCGATAGATGGTTGACGTGGAAAGAAAGAGCAAACCACACCAATTTTTATTTTGAGTTTTCGTGTTTCTTACTGCCCTGTAAAAATAGAGGTTTTATGACAAGCTGTTCTTTTAAGTTACTCTTTTTTGTAAGTGTTTAGCGGCGCTCGCAACTGCATAAGGTCAAATTGAATTGTGCCCTGGTAGCGGTCGAAGCCTACTCTTATCGATGTAAGACCACAAAGAGATCTTTACCGTGCACAACTTGCACAAGGGACCTCCGAGATTTTTCGCCCTTGTCCGAGAAGGCTGGTAATAGATCTTTCCTACCGGAAGGTCAGGGATGTGGCTGAAAGACAACAGTATGAAGGAGCCAAGGAGTAGTAGTAGAAAGGCTGCAGAAAGAGTCTGGAGTCCCGAGGAGGGGGCAAAGGGGGTGAAGGGGTGGTGGCAGAAAATGGAAACGAAAGCAGACGACAGAACATTGCTGGAGAGCAGGAAAGGAGGTGAAAGGAAACAATTTTCGAGAAGAAAAAGTACAGTAGAGTCTGTATCAACAACGGATATCAAAATCATGTTTTTATAGGTCATTTTATTTAGGCCGCCAGTTTGTATAATGGTTTACGGTGTTATATTTCTATACTATTGTCCAGCTCGCTTTCCATGACATGACTACTGAGTAACAGGGGTGCCTACTCGTCTGATTTTTCCGGTAGTTTCTGATTTTTGGACCTGTTCCACAGCCATAACGATAAAGGTGTCAAAACTACCAGATTTTCGATGGACGCCTATGGAAACCTGTAGATTTACATCCTAAAATTCTGTACATGTACTTGCCGCATCCTCATATCAGAGAGAGAGAGAGAGAGAGAGAGAGAGAGAGAGAGAGGGGGGGAGAGAGAGAGAGAAACAAGCATGGCCAGTGAGCCTAATTTATATCTGATTGGTCAATAAAAACAAGTGAAAAGGTGCATAGTTTTTATTTCCACGACATTTCGTGAAAATAACGGCTTCCAAAATTAAATGCATCTCATTTACGATACAGAACTCCAGGGAAATATTGCACAATAATATTGTCAAAATGTTATTCGTTTTTTTTTTTTTATACGCTCTAAATGAAGAAAATGAAAGGTTCGGATTATGGAGGGCTTTGACATAAATTGTGAATTATAAGCAAGGTGATCCAAAGAAAACCCCAAAAAACCTGTACAACTTGTTTTGTAAATATCTTCCTCCACACTGAAGTTTTACGTTTCATATTTGAACATAACATTAGGAATTCAAAAGGAATGTGTCTGATATTCATTTTAGATAAGTCCATTGAATGATTTTGCTCTATATGGTGCATAAAAAACAACCCGTTGTCATAGCATGACGCACCAGTTCGCATTAGGCCTACTACTAAGAAGTTGCAACAATCGCGCCGTATTGCAAGCTACAGCAGACTAACAAATCAACAGAAGTTTGCAGATAATATTTTTACCAAATTTTGTTTGCCTGCTGAGATCATGGTTTTAGTAAAGAGCAGAGAGCTTTTTTAAAAACCCTAACTCTTCAAAAACTCACCATCCTTGACATTTCGTAAGTTCTGCGCACGACACGGAGAGAATGCTTAGGTGCCCTCAAGACCTTTGGCGTCATGAGTAGAGAAGTTCCGTCAGTTTTGATTTATAGAGAATCGAAACTAAATATTTACTCAAAAATGACTACTTCAGGTCGATCAGGCACCATGCACAGCCTTTTAAACGTCACCAGGGTGCAGATTTCAGTAGTCGAGTCCCATGAGACGTCTGTCCGTAGACAATCTGCAGCTAGGACTTTCCTACTCCTCAACAGTCTGCATTCTCATGGCAGATCTTAACCTACGACTGTACAATTTTCATCTTCGCTAGGCCGAGATGACATGGGTCAGAGCATGGCAATGTGTTCATGATTTCTCGATTGGCTTGAAAAGCGGAATCATTTCCTCAAAGACATTTATTGGTTTAGTGCAAAGTCCATTTTCACCCTGCGGGATATATTAACTCCTAAAATGCTGTCTATTGAGCTCCCCACTCCCTATTGTCCCTAGAAGCCACTTCATACTGAATATGTACTGTGTATGTGGTTCATGGTTTAGTAGGTCCTTGTGTACGGGCGCCATTGAACATTTCGAACAACGCGTTAAAAATGTTTCGAGTCCAAAGGAGGGCATGTAGAGCACTACTTCTAGGAATTTCAGAATGTAATCGTTCTTTTTTAAAAACTCTGTTAAATAAAATAAATATTGTTTAAATGTCACAGGGATAGAAAATGAAACGTCAAAGAGAAAATATACAAAAAGTCAACCAATCTTTTCACGACTTCTTTTGCAAGATTTTAAAAAATTGGTGAACTTTGCATTTTTGGGTGCTTTTTTTCTTTAAACCATTTCCGTATTCAAAACAAGTTTTTTCTTCGTGGATTTTATGTCAAACAAGTTCCTTCTGAATGAATTATGTCTGTTCCAAATTACAACATTCTAGAACCATTTTTGTGCGAGATATTTTTTTTAAAGTTGTACAGTTTTTTAAAATCACCCTGTAGTTCTCCTTGTTTTCATTGTGTCTCTGGATTGGTGTCTTCTAATCTTACTTGGAGCTCTCGTGGACTAGAAGTTAAGGTGTTCGCCCCTCATTCAATAGGTCCCGGGTTCTAATCCGGAAAACGACGGAACATTTTCTTCTTTAAAATGGTCTCTTTTCACATCTTTTCCCTCTCTCTCTCTCTCTCTCTCTCTCTCTGTCTGTCTCTCTCGTCTCCACTTTCTATCCCCACCCCCTCACCTCCTTTACTCCAACCTGTGGGCTCCTGATTCGTTCTGCAGCCTTTCTACTGCTACTCCTTGGCTACTTCTTACTACTCTCTTTCAGCTACACCCCTGGTCTTACGGTAGGAAAGAACTACACCTACCTTCTTGAATATAGGCGAAAAATCTCGGAGGTCCCGAGTGCAAGTTGCACACGTTAAAGATCCCTTGGTGGTCCAAAACCGATAACAGTAGGCTTCGGCCGCAACCCGGGAAAAAGTTCAAAATTTCCGACCGACTGAAAATGGTTAATGTGTCTCGCGCGCCCTTATAACCTTTTGCAGTTGCGAGCGTCGAAAAACACTTATCCCCCAAAAATATATTTAAAAATTAGTCTGATTTACAAACAAATCGTTTTGCTTCTATAACATCATATTATAGACACTTATTTGTGGAAAAGAATTATTTTTAGCGTTGTTTTGTTGCGCTGTACAGCAATTAAGACACTTCTTTAAAAGCTTTTTTTTTGGGGGGGGGGGGGACAAAAGAACAAACAGCTTTTGATCTGACAAACTGTGGTAATGCACACTTATAAATGACGTCAGTTATTTCTGTTTTTGTTTGTGTGTTTTTTTTTTCTTTGTGGTACTTTTTTGCCACTCCTCTCATCCAGAACTTTCCTAAAATGGCGTCAGTAGACTTCTGGTTAGGCTACCTGACTCGTAATCGTGAGGCTGCTGGTTCGGGGGTTTGAGCCCCCAGGCCCGATGTTGTGTCCTTGGGAAAAACACTTTACACTAAAATTTTCCTCACTTCACCCACGTGTGAATGTGTACCCGGCCATAGACAGCGAAAGACCTTCCCAGTATGTTAGCGTTTTAGCGTCTGTAAATTGGAAGCTTGCACTGTATGCTTCCCAAGAAGTTGAGTTTCTTTCAGAATGCTCTCTGGTCTGTTGTTATAATAATAATATAGATTGTAAAGCGCATATAGAGCTTACTGTCGAACGAGAATTTGCGCTAAACAAATGCTATCTATTTATCTGTCCATCTATTTATCTATCTATCTATCTATCTATCTATCTATCTATCTATCTATCTATCTATCTAT